TTTTAGGTCGATAGGCGGGAAAGGAAAGTAAGATGGACAAAGACGAATTTATGTTATAAAAAAATTAAGTTTATTGTTATATCATTATACATATTATACCAATTCATAATAGTGTTTCTTTAATATTTAATTATTCTTAAAAGTACAAGTTTATATATGACAACATGTTACATGAGATTTTTCGCATTTCTTTTTTCCATGAAGAAAAATTTTACGAAATAATTGTACGATAGCTTATCATTATCTTCATAATCTTCGCTAAATATTTTGAGAAATTGTTTAAGCTTATAACCGCAAAACAAATAATAAAGAAATACGCAGTCATATTGTCCGGAGGAGAAAATGTGCCTTGTAATCGCATGATGTTCCATTTATGAAGAATAGATTATGAAGAGTAGAGTTTCGTCAAAGTCAGATTGAATCTGGAATCCAAGATAGTCCGTAGCTACGTCGAAATATGTGCCTTCTCCATGCTTATCTATGTAGAAAGCAACCCAGTGTTGTCCAGGACGATCGTGATTATCGGTGTTCGCGACGATGGCCGTCGACTTCGTTCACCCTCAGGATTCTGTTAGCAGGATACACACCCGCCATGTCCGACACTGAGATGATGCTCGTAAGATTTTAAGCGAATTCATCTTTCGCAGAGAGGAATGATGTTTGAGTTATTTTCTGGCTTGTCAATGTTGTTATATTTTTATCCTTTTGCGAGGATTGTACGATAGGAGCTCCTTTTTTTCATGCGTGAGTTTCGACAGATCTTCTTCCTCCACTTTTATTTGTTCGTACTTCGCTTGTTATGTTTCTAATCTCTTATTTCTCCACGTAACGAGATTTGGGAAATTTCGTTTTATCCCGCTTTCTGTATCGCTGTCATCGGAGCTTCCATCAGTAAAAGAATTATCGCTGCTTATAATATCGTAGTTCCCTTCTTGCGATTGCATCCAATATCTCAATTTGCATGCATTGCGTAACGCGCAATGAAATTTGCCGAAATTTCGATGAAACCCGTGATGACTGCAGCAATTCATGCTCTTCGCCTTCCAACAAGTTTTTGAGGGAAGATTCCTTCTAGATTATATATGTTTCTTGCGAATGTGTTTTGCAAATAATATATCTTCTCTCGGCCTCTGGTCTATGTAAGGCGCTTGCCGTGCAATTTCACGTAATTCTGCTATGAAATGTTTGGAATTGGTTGTTCCGTCAAACCACTCGATTCCATGGAAGTTTCGAGAGAGCTAGTTGTTTTCTTGTCTGTATTTTTCGGCTAATTCAACAAATGGATATGAAGGCATCATAATGCATCATAATGCAGGCTTATGAATGCTTCATTAACGGCGACAACCATTTCCTTCGATATAAACTTCCTCTCAGTGTCGCGGGAACCTTGTTCGATAATTATATCCATTATGCGTAGAATGCACTTTCAATCTGTTTTGTGAAGTGACGACGTTCGCGTCTGCAAAACTGCGGCTATTTTTCGTTATGCTTTCGGAGAAGTAGAAATGAAAAGTAGATAACAGAGGGAGGGGGAGAAATTCGAATATATCTTATCCACTAAAATCAACGATAATTTGACGCGATAATTTAATCTCTAATACGTTATCTAACTCTGCGTAAATAATACAATTAATTGTTGTGGTAATAGATTTTTCAAATCGCACTCTAATTGTAAACTTCCATATCTGACAAGATTCCAATATCCCGGGCAATTTGCCGATAGATCGGGAGTGAGATCGAAAGCGAGAAGCGTAAAACCTTTGGCATAATCTTCTTTGCTTATAGAATTCCCCTTGTTTAGAAAATGGATGCCAGTTTCCGAAAAGAGGATAATAAGCCTCGATGTAAAGCGGCTGGTTTTTTGAGAAATTTGGTTGCAGTGGTCTGTTCGGTTTCGCTATCGGCATATACGAGAAGAAATTTATACCGTAATTTTTTAAATTAAATGGATTTAGCTTTCTGTCACCGTTAAACGCTTTGTTATCGACGAATCCGATTATTACGCGCTTCGGAAGTTGCCCGAGTATCGCATTATCAATCAATTCTCCTATCACTCCGGCGTGAATCGTAAATGTTTTAACTTCGACTTGTGTCAGAGGATATTTGGCGATTGTTTTACTCAACATTCTTGCATGTTCGAGTAACACTGCAGGACTTATTTTTGCTCTTTTTATGAGCAAACTAGCATTTAGAATACGTATTTTCGACGTTGAGTTGCCTTCCATGAGACGCATCTCTCGAACGAACGAGTCTCATTCTAACTTCCACTTCGTTAATTAAAAATTTATTCTGATTAAGGACGTCGCAATGAAGATTGGATGAAGAATGGCCTATTAGATCTAGAAAGTTCTCTTTGGATGTCCTCCTTGGAGATCGGGCACGTCTCACGAGAGCTTGATTGGAGTTATCGATTCTAATAGCGCGTCCATATAATTGAGTTCGT